TCGGATGAAATCTGGAAAAGTTACAGGTGAAAAAGTGCAAAAAGTGAAATTTTTGAAACTTCAAAAATTAACGCTGTCCGATAGCGATCTGTGACCTATTAGTTTTTTGGTGCGGGCTGAAGCGCCTTGGAGCGCTCTACACGGAGGACCCAATAACTGATTTTTTTCGGCCAAGTTGGCCGAAAAATTGGCAAAAAAACAAGTACCACGTGGCCACGAGGTCTGTGATCCAGAGGCGTGCGGCTGCTGCTGACTACGTGGAGGCGAGCCCGGGATCGGGTCCAGTCATCCGCCGCTACAAGCAGAAAAGAAGGTCTGCAAATTTCGGAGCTATACATTTTCAAAATTTTGGTTAAATTTCAAAAATTCATAACTCGCTCAAACGATCTGTGACCCCCCTTTTGAAAAATTTGCTTATAAAGATATTCAGGTCCTCTACATAATTGCAAAATTTCAGATTTTTATGTCCAAAAACTTTGGACCTACAAATTTTCAAAAATTAGGGGGTTGCACGAGGGGTAAAACTAGCACCCTGGTAGCTCCGAAATCCTGCTCATAAATTTAAGCACTTTACTATAAGGCTGTGTAAATTTTTTCAGAATTTTTTGTGTTAAATTTTGGCGTTTTATTAAGGAAATAGTTAAACATTTTGTGTTTTTTACATTTTAAAAATCGGGTGTTAAAATTTCTTAGTTTTAGGTTTGACCAGTTGGTAGAGCTCTTCAAGCCCATTCCAACAAGCCCAAACTCGGGCTGATTCGGCCAAAAGGGGGCGATTTTGGGTTTTGTCGACCATCTTGGCGGCCATCTTGGAAACTTTTCTTTTTAGGTTTATTCCGGAACTATAGGTCGCACAGCGGCGGGGTTTCCGGGCCTGACGTGGGGAAACCCGGGACAATCGAGACCGACCCTTTTGGTCTCTTTTTAGAGCCCAACTTTTTTGACCAAAATTTTATTAGAACACGATAGTCCTAGTGCGGCAAACCACTCAGGTCTTTTTCCCGTCGCTCTGCGACAAATAATACCTCCACAAATTGTATTTTAAATTGTGATTTGACAGTTCGACCGCCATCTTGGAAAGTTTATTTCTGGCATAACTCGACCATTTCTTGACGGATCGAGACGGGCTTTACAGCATCTAAGTGAGCATAGAGAGCTCTAGGTTTATTATTACAGACGGACTCTACATAGAGCCAAAAATAGCCGACGAAACTTGAAGGGAAACACGAAAGTTTTAGTGTAAGCGACCATACTAAACTTTTTTCCGTCGCTCTACGACGAAAATTAACGTCGGAAATCGTGTTTCAAACTAGGGTTTGACATTTCGACCGCCATTTTTAAAAGTTTGCTTCGATCGTATCTCGGTCGTTATCTATACTACGAGCACGCGGTTTTTTGCATTAGCGTATGCGCGAAGAGTCCTTTGACTCTCCGTACGGACTGACTCTACATAGAGTCAAAAATCGGAACTCGATCTGACAGTGGTACCCCTTAGTCCTCTTCGGCAGGAGCACCACAAGCTTTTCCCCGTCGGATTGTTGCGGATAGAGGCCGAGCTGCAAGCGTTGGAAATTTCAGCCGCCATTTTGGGCGGACATCTTCAAAATCTTTAACTGCAGATATCTCGGCTCCTGACCGCCGTAGCGAATTGCGGTTTTCGGCACTGGCAAAGGCGCACATAGTGCCTTCAAATCTGCATAACAGCGTGACTCTACATAGAGTCAAACTGACAAGAGCTTAAAAATCCAATAGATTTGGGTAAAGTACGTAGTGGATACCATACCTGCACATAGTTCTTTGTTAAGGCTTAACGACCGACCAGTAAAGGCAGCTCTACCTAAACCTAGACTTGGAAAAAATTTTACTCTTCCTAGCAAAGCTAACTGTATATACTTACCCTGCAAATTATCACCTACTGTAGACACTGGAGAGTGCTCGCCACGCCGACACCGTCACCTGAAACAAAGAAAAAATTAAAAAATTAACTTAAAATCTAACTAGGAACATAAAACATAGACATTTTATGAAATAAATAGAAACATAAAATACGTAATTAGAAAACATAGAGACGACGCGAGAGACGCCCCTTACACGTCTTTTAGTGGAAAACCTTTACATTTTCTACCTTATATTACTTACAAAATTACTACTTTGGATACTTATACAAAACTTAAATCTAAAATCTTAACTTATCTTAAAAACTGATGATTCTCTCTTACGCAAAAGCTACAAACAAACAAAAAATGATTAGAACACCCCCAAAACTGACAGATGCAAACGAGGTAGCGAAAAAATCGCCGCCAAAAACTGTGACACTTACCTCAAACGTGAGAAAGAGCATCGACGAATGGGAAGCAGCGGGATCAGACCCGTCCATTGAAACACCTGTGACAAGCAAAAGACCGCAGGCAGGCCCTGCTACGCAGAAAAAGAGACTGCCACTGTCACAGGACAGCGAAATGGCTAAAAGCCCCCTATCCCTGTCCGACACGCGTTCGCCTAAGACCGCTCACCAAAACAGACTGACAGAGGCAAAAACGTGCATTACAAGAGTTAAGCAGTACCTGGCACTCTCCAGAAACTTAAAATCAAATTTAAAAACTGGAATAAGTAATGCAGCGGATAGATTATACCAACTAGTGAAAGAGCTGGATGCGGAACTGAAACGGAAGAGTGAAGGAAGTGTGGAGAAGGGAAAAAAGGCCTCAGAAACACCTGGAGGAAATGATAAGATAGGAAAAGAGAGAAAGGGAGAGGACGCACCGGAGAAGGATAGCCTGGCCAAACAGATTGAAGAGCATGGAAGGCTACTCCAAGAACACCGAGGGGAGATGGTCTCGCTTCAAAAACAACTATCTGAGCAGCGCGAAATGTTCGAAGGAAATCGAACTTACGCGAATGTTGCTGCAGGGCCTCAAAGAGGACCATCCCAGGAACAGCCTTCCATGCACTCGGTGGTGATCACCTCGCAAGACGAACTAGAGACCGGTGACCAAGTCTTAGAGAAAGTTAGGAAGGTAGTGAACGCCAGGCAGGAAGGGGTCAGGATTGATAAAGTAAGGCAGGCAAGAGACCGAAAAGTTATTATTGGATGCAGGAATAAGGACGAATTAAAAAAGGTTAGGGATAAAATCAGGGAAAATGGGGAGAGACTACACGTGGAAGAGGTAAAAAACAAAGACCCTCTAGTCATTTTCTACGGGGTGTTAAAATCTAACACAAATAATGAAATTGTAGACGCCTTGAGGAATCAAAATGGACACTTATTAGGAGGAAAGAGCGGGACAGAAGAAGGGATAGAGATAGTCTACCGCAGGAGAGCCAGGAATCCACATACCGAGCACGTGGTAGCAAGGGTCTCCCCTCAGGTGTGGAAGCGGCTGACGGAGGCGGGGGCAGTCCACATCGACCTCCAACGGATCAGAGTCGCAGACCAGTCGCCCCTAGTCCAGTGTTCGCGCTGTCTAGGGTACGGCCACGGGAAGCGATTCTGCCGGGAGGAGGTCGATGTGTGCAGCCACTGCGGGGGCCCACATATGAGAACGCAGTGTAAGGGGTGGACTGAAGCGACCGTACCAGATTGCATAAATTGCAACAAAGCAAAAATAGAGTTCAGGGACCACAGTGCATTTAGCAGGGAGTGCCCGGTGAGACGCAAATGGGAAGCCATAGCGCGCTCTGCCGTGGCGTATTGCTAAAGTGGTCCCTGGCAACCATCAGTTAGGTACACAATCTACTAGTAAGTACCTGGTCGCGCAGGCCAATCTACAAAGAAGTGAGCTCGCAACGGCCGAACTTGTGGTAGAGTGCGTAAAGAGAAAAATTTCCGTAGCCTTGATACAGGAGCCATATACTGGATGTACGGGTAGGGTGAAGTCATATCCGGGGGTCAAAGTAGTGCAATGTAGTGGAAACCCAGATAACGTAAATAAGACGGCCATTGCACTCTTTGACGACAGTATCGACATTGTCCAATACCCCACGCTCACTACGCACAACTTCACAGTAGTCAAACTTAGGACTGGAGCGTGGGAAGTGGGGATAGTGTCGGTATACCTGGACAAGGACAAACCCATCGACCCGGACATCCAGTGGATGACAAAAGTGAAGAATGAGTTGGGCACGGCTAATATAGTGATAGGGGGAGATGTCAATGCATGGAATCCATGGTGGGGAAGCCGTAAAATGAATCCCAGAGGCGAAGCGCTGGCATACGCACTGGACGAACTTGGCCTGCAGATACTGAACGAAGGTACTAAGCCCACTTTTGATGTAATAAGGGGAGGAAAGCGCTTCACGAGTTGCGTCGACCTGACCGCCTGCTCTACCGAAATCTTGGGAAGCGTAAGCAACTGGCGACTGGACACCGAAATGACCAGCTCGGACCACAATGCAATCCTGTTCGAGTTTAATCTAGAAAAATCAATAGGCATAGATATAAAACGTACGACCAGAATTTACAACACAAAAAAGGCAAACTGGCGTGAGTTTCATGAGAAACTCACCCAAGTTTGGAAAGATGAAAACATTAATAAGGAAGAAATAGACAAAATAGTACATAGAAAAGACTTGGATAACTTAGTAGAAAAAATAAATAGACTAATTAACAAAATATGTGAAGAAACTATTCCAAAAATTAAGAATAAGAAACCGACGGGATTGCCCTGGTGGAACGACGAGTTGGCCAGACTGAAGCAGGATGTTGCAACAAAAAAGCGTAGGATCAAATGTGCGGCGCAAATAAGACGCAAAGTGGTTACGGATAGTTACCTGCAGGCCAAGGAAAACTACCAGTGTGAGGCCAAAAAAGCGCAAACTTCCAGTTGGAAGAGCTTCTGTGGAAGGCAGGACCGGGAATCCATGTGGGAGGGGATTTACAGGGTGATCGCCCGGACAACCCAACGGGGGGAGGACATTCCGCTGGTGAAAGACGGAACGGTGCTGGGGGGTGAGGAATCCGCCAAACTGCTGGCGGAGACTTTCTTCCCCCAGGATTCGGAGAATGAGGATAGCGCTGCTCATCGCTACATCCGCAAGTCAGCAGAAGACGGCAACAAATGGACGCATGGTGAGCCATGCGATCCAGAGTTTACGATAGAGGAACTGAATACGGCAGCGCTAAGCTTCAACGTCAAAAAGGCACCGGGCAAGGAGGGCTTCACGGCCGATATATGTAGAGCAGCGATAGGAACGAACCCAGAAGCTTTTCTGGCTCTGTACAATCGCTGCATCGCTTTGGCGCAATTTCCGACGATCTGGAAAGAGGCAACGATTGTAGTACTCCCAAAACACGGAAAGGAAGATTACACCCTCCCAAAATCATACAGACCGATTGGGTTGCTACCGGTCCTAGGGAAGATTTTGGAAAAGATGTTGATCAAGAGGATCCGGTGGCACACCATGCCGAAAATGAGTAGGAGACAGTACGGGTTTACACCACAGCGCAGCACCGAGGACTCCCTCTATGTCATGATGAAGCATATCAGGGATAAACTGGAAGAAAGGAAGCTAATCTCCCTGATATCATTAGACATAGAGGGGGCCTTCGACAGCGCCTGGTGGCCCGCAATTCGCTGTAGGTTAGCCGAATCAGAGTGCCCAGCCAACCTGAGGAGGTTGGTTGACAGTTACCTTTCAGGAAGAAAGGTAAGGGTAAGGTACGCGGGCGCGGAAAGTGTCAGGGACACCACAAAAGGCTGTGTGCAGGGCTCCATTGGGGGGCCCACCTTTTGGAATTTACTACTTGACCCACTCTTAAAAGGACTGGAGGAAAAAGGGGTACACTGCCAAGCTTTCGCGGATGACGTGGTCCTGATTTTTTCGGGGGACAATGCAGAACAGATAGAGAGGCAGGCCGATGCGGCTCTCGAACATGTTCAGAGGTGGGGAGTCGAAAATAAGCTCAAGTTCGCACCACATAAGACACAGGCAATGGTGATTACAAATAAAATTAAATACGACTCCCCGCGTCTGACCATGGGCGGGGAACGCATTGGTCTGTCTCGTGAAATTAAAATCCTTGGCCTTACGGTAGACGATAAACTCACCTTTAACAGCCACGTGAGGAACGTCTGCCGGAAGGCCATAGCGTTGTACAAACAACTAGCAAGGACTGCAAAAATAAGTTGGGGGCTGCACCCCGAGGTGATCAGGACGATCTACACCGCTGTGATAGAGCCTACTATTATGTACGCGGCTTCCGCCTGGTCAATGGCGACAAATAAACTAGGTGTTAAAAAGCAGCTGGATATGGTCCAGAGGGGATTCGCACAAAAGATTACAAAGGCGTACAGGACTGTCTCACTTCACTCGGCGCTATTGCTCTCCGGACTGCTTCCTCTGGACATCAGGATCAGGGAAGCAGCCTCTCTTTATGAGGTGAAAAAAGGTTTTTCCCGGAGAGCAATAGCAGACCGGGAACTTGAGACACCAACACCTTTTGTAAACCTACCTCACCCCTCGGAACAGATAGGGACCAAATTTATATGCCTGGCAGACGGTGCAGCTCTGGAACAGCACGACAACCATGGCCGAAAAATTTTTACTGACGGCAGTAAAATTGAAGGGAAAGTTGGCGCTGCTCTATCCATATGGGATGGCGAAACGGAAACGAGTACTCGAAAATTGAAGCTGGACCAGAGCTGCACCGTATATCAGGCGGAGCTGTTGGCACTGATGGAGGCAACAAGTCACGCCGTAAAACACGAGGCGTCACACTGCAACGTTTATAGCGACTCCAGGTCCGCATTAGAGACGATCGCCGACGGTACTTCCCTCCATCCCCTAGCAGTTAAAACAAGAGCAAATATTAATACCATCCAGAAGCGAAACAACATCATAAACCTCTTCTGGATAAAAGCTCACGAGGGGATGGAGGGAAACGAGAGAGCCGACGAACTGGCCAAGGACGCTGCATTAAACAAAAAGTCAAAGGCCGACTACGACAAGTGTCCTGTTTCGTTCGTCAAGCGTCAAATCCGAAAGGACTCGCTTGACGAATGGAACAGGCGCTACGTAGGAGGGGAAACGGCATCCACAACAAAGGTTTTCTTTCCTGATGCCATAGCAGCGAACAGGGTGATAAGAAAGATGGACTTGGATCCACTAACTGTGCAATTAATGACGGGCCATGGTGGGTTCTCCTCATACTTGTATAGGTTCAAGTGTAGGGAGAGCCCATCATGTCAATGCAGTGATGAAACCGAAGAGAATGTGTTGCACTTGGTTGTGGAATGCCCGATTTATGCCAGAAATAGATTTGATGCGGAGGCCGAGATTGGTAGAGAAATAAACGTTAGTACAATCCACGACATAATAGAACAAAAAGAAAGTAGAGATAAATTTCTAGATTATTGTAGATACATTGTAAAAAGAGTCGTAACAAAAAATAAGTAGGTAAAATATGGCCATTCTTCCTCTTTATGTTTGTACATATAAAGCAGGAAGTAATATTAGCTCGTAAGGAAAGTAAGCAATATGTAAATTAGATAATAAGCTAGAAATTGTATAAGCTAAGAAAAGATAAATGTAATAAGTATACAGAAATGATGTAATAAGTATGTAATAAGCATTAATAAAGTGTACACCCTAAGAACTGTAAGAAAAAATATTAGGCAATAAAAAGTATGTATTAAGTGTAGAAGTAAAAGAATAAATAGTTCAGGAAATATAATAAAGAAAACCCCGACCCGTTCCACTCCTAAGTGTAGTAGCCATAGAAAATAAGAATAGGAAAGGATAGGATACAAACAATAAAAGAAAGAATGTGGATGGACAAATGTGTAGTATGCGGTATGAAACTACGAGTGGCATGAAGAGCGAGAACTGGAATGGATGTGTTAGCGCAAAAAATGCCTCCTTTTATGAAGGAGAACAGAGAGAATTTATAATTAAAAAAAAAAACCTAACCTAACCTAACCTAACCTAACCGTGGAAATCAAATTCAGGAAGAGAGCCCGAAATCCCCATACCGGTCA